AAAACATTTTTTTTTAATTATACAAATCAAGAAAAAACCATTTTTTCGGTTTTTCATTGAAACATTTTCTTTTCAATAATATATATTTTATTTTACCATTTGTACTCTAGCAAGTACTTGTACTCTAGTATTTACAAGAGTATTTTATATAATATAGTGGAATATATTGGTGGCATATTTGAAAAAAGTGGTTCATATTCGTATACGAATATAAACCAATGTGTCGCAAATATTTGTCAATAAATCACGACTATATGCACGCAATCTCCCCCTAGACCCGCTGTATAGCCCAGACATTGCCCCTTCTGGCTATCACTTGTTTCGATCGATGCAGAATGCCTTGTCTGGAATACGCTTTACTTCAGTTCTTTTGGCGCGGAATCCATATGCTGCCAGAAAGGTGGGAAGAAATCATAGATAACGATGGCCAATACTTTGAATGATATGTTATTTACAGAATTTATTAAATAAAGTTGTATTTTTACAAAAAAAACGACATTTTTAACTACTACTACCAATAACTTTTGGTTTTTATTTTATTTTACTCATTTACTCCCACAGGAGCAATTATTTTTCATCCGAGGATCAAATTATTCAAAACCAGAAGTTATCGATGCTTTTTTGAAAGATTTCCACATTGACTTACCAATTTTTGGATATTATTCAACAATCAAGAAAAGAGTGAGTGTGAAATGATTCGTGCATTTTTTTCAATTAAATTTCTTGATAATATTATTATGATTTCCAGCCCGACTATCTTGAGCCCATCTTAAATGAAATTCGCCAATATTATTTTAACAGTGCCAAAGATGACCATTCACGTTTCATACAACGACTTATTTTGGATTCAGATATAAATTACTTTTATTTCCTCGAAAAATGGATGGAACGACATGTTGCCATTTCCAAAAAAGATACATTCTATTCTCGGTTAGTTTATACGTTTGAAATTTAAAAAAAAATTAACGTTTGCGTATTTAGATTTTCAGTGTCTACAAAAATTAATCCACATCCATCACTTAAGGCAGCTTCGCATACGGACGAGGTCTGCTATTTATTCCGGTATATATAAACCATTTCTGAATACGTAACAACGTTTTTATTCAACGCTTTTTTTAGATGTCAAAAAATGACCGATTACTACAAACAAATCAAAGTGATTAAAGAGAATGACCCGGACTCTTTAGAAGCTCTTACATCCATGAAAAACATACAAGCTTTGTTTTATAATTTCGTCAAATATGGGTAATAATGAACTTATATCACATTTTCTTTCCGAATTTTACGAGCTGTATATTTTTAGAAAACCCGTTCATGATGGTAAACCGATACAAGAATTTGCACCTGTTCAAAATTCAAGCAAAGCGAACCAATTCAATTTTATTGATGTGACAAATGGTGGCTTAGTAAGTGGGGTGGCAGCAAACGCTAAAAGAACTGAGTTTTTGGACACAATTGTCGAAAAAGTTAAGCAACTGGTTAAGAAACATGGTGAAACACCAAAAGATACATCGTTGCAGCAAATGTGTGACGCTATGAAACTTGGTAACTGGTAGCAAATGGAATTACATGAATGAAAGAACTTGAAATTCGATATTTTTTCATCAAAATTTGAATGTGGACTTAAATTTAACTAAATATATCATTTAAATAAACAAAAAATATAAAAGTGGTATATTTCTTGGCAATATTTTTTTCGGCATTCAAATTATTTCAATTATTCTCAAATTGACTCAGAAAATAATTCGAATATATTTCGATGCGATGGCCATATTATCTGCTTTGAGCTTTATTAATTGACCGTTTTTCGTTGATCATTCTTGATAAGATGTTTCACGACGACTTGAACATTTGAACGAGTAACACTTACATTTTTGTAAGTTTGTTTTGTCATTTTAAAAGTTTTGCTTTAAAAAAAACAACAAACATTTATTTTGGTCCAAAGTTCTACTTGTGTATTCTTCTAAAAAGTTGTTTCTCAAGAACACTCTCTCAAGACTCACGACTCAAGTTCAGGTTTTGAGTTATCCCAAACAAATTGTCATTTGAGGTTTTCCTTTATCGAGTGGCCTATGGTACCAGAAATTTTCTGTATGAAATATTCTGATTTTCCATTATAAATTATATAGAAAAAGTTTTTGCACAAAATAATTGCGGAAAATCCAATTTTAAAAAAATGTTATCGAATTTATTTAAACCAATTACCTTGAGTTCTGCTAAACTTCAAATTATTAAGAATTAAATAAATAAAAGAATAAAACGTAGAAACATGTTTTTTTATCTATTTATCTCTTATACAATTGAAAAATGAATCGTATTGTATATCTATTTTTATTCTAAAGATAATCATAATGATTAGTTATAATTAGCTTTAATAAAATAAAATTAATTAGAAGGAAGAGAGAAAAAAATTACTATTTCTAGTACTATCTCTATATCTTTTAAAATTAAAATGGATTTCGATTCGATTCGATTTTGAATTGATTAAAACATTCAAAGTGTCTGCAACTTACTTCAGTGGTGTTTCACAAAAATAAAAATGGTAAGAAATTTGCAAAAAAATGGTTTTGTTAAAAAAAATGAAATTAAAAAGAAAACATGTTTCGCCAGCCATTGGTCAAAATGATCAAAAATCGTTTGTGTGTTCGTCTGAATTTGTGTGTGAGTGTTTACTATAACTATGTAATTTTTGTTCGTAAACGTTTGAAATGTTTGTTTATGTGTATGTGTGTTTATGTGTATGTACTTAGTAGAGCGCTCGATTTGTTTGTCGCAAATTAATCGGTTTATATTTCCGTGAATCGTCAGTAGTTTCACCGAGCACATGCATTGTGTTCGAGTAGTCGGAATCAATTTGTGGTATTACTTTTCTTTCAGACGGATTACGTCCAGCTCCCACTAAATCAGCAAGTGATAAAATACTTTTCACATTGTCGGCGTTGTTATTATTGCCGTTGCTGTATTTTTCAATTTCTTCCGAAATTTTTTTCAATCGTTGTTCAATCGATGTGGTATCTTCAATTTTCTCCGAAACACCTTCGGCACCGTTTGGATCATTGTCAGCAGTATAGACAGCATCGTTTGTTGTTATTGATTCAACATGATTAAGCTCATCATCATTGATTTTTGTACTATCTTCGGATGACATTTTTGTACTATCTTCGGATGCAAGTTTTTGTTGTTGTTCATCATCGCCAAATTGATCGTCGTCACTACGATGATTTGATGCTATACTACTTGTTTCCATTGTAACACGTAGCGTTGCCAATGGAATTGATACGGAAAGTTTACGATCCGAAATTGATTTAGCCGAATGCAAACTTGGTGGTACTGGAGTTGTAACATGTGAAACGGTTGGACGTTGGGTTGATGATTGTGGCTGTGGTGGTTGCATTGTTGACGAATACACATACGAATCCGATGCATATGATGTGGCTGGCGTTGTTGCAATCAATGGGCGTCTGTAAGCAAATTTTTTTTGAGAGAGAAAGAAAAACAATAAAAAGACCAACATTTAATAAGTTAAGCAATTACATCACTTGCATTTTTTTATTCGTGTGTGTTTTTTTTCTTTTGTCTTTTTACTCTATGATTTCTAATCAAGGTGTATGTTTTGCCCACGGCTCTGACTAAAATGTGTGAGGATTATATGTGTGTATGTGTATGTCGAAGTGAAAATCCGAAAAAAATGAAATAAAAAAGACAAAAATAATTGTTAAAGAAAATCGAGAACGCTGATTTGGAATGATTTGCCAAATGTTAAGAGAAAAAAAATTCTATAAATAGCAAATTGATGTGTATCTTTAGAATAAAAAAATGATTAAGATTAAAACAGGTTTCATGTGTCACAATGCAAACAATATATCATGGAAAAGAAATTTAGTTAAATAACCATTATTAGAGTAACTAACCCCATGCCACCAGACCAGAGAATAAAACCTAACTGAAAGATATTGAGGTTTGCAATTAAATATTTGTTAGTACGAAACAATAAAAGAGGCATTGAAATTGTTTTGTCAACTATAGCGATGTTTTTGCTTTTGTTTTATTTTTTCAAGGAATTGCGTAATTCTCGTTATCAATTTTAATGTAATAGAACAAAGTGAAACCAGTGGAAACAGAACGAAATATTAGAAATGAATGGGAAAAAAGTAAGAAATATCTATCTGCATTTGTTTTTAATACTAAAGTTTTTTTTGTTTTTTTTTTTCTTGTTAAAAAATGTGGTGGAAAAGGGTTAGCTCACCTAAATTTGGTTATTGAGAAATTTATTGGGTTGTGGAGTTTATGCTGCATGTTCCTCTTTCTTTATTCTATTTTTTTCATTCTTAAATTGTCTGTTATTACTGTAAAAAAATGTGTTTTTCATTCTTTAGCATTTCATAAATCGCAATTGTTTCTCTTATTTCTCTTCCCTTTTCTTTCTCTCTCTCACTCTCACTCTCACTCTATCTCGTACTCCACCTTTTGCTCCGCTTTTTTCCACTCTCTCTTTCTCTCATTTCACTCTCTCTCTCTCTCTCTCTCTCTCTCTCTCTCAAAAAATTCGTTCTCATTTGAAAAATCACTACCTTACGGCTTACCTACCCCTGTGCTGAAGACACTGGAATGCTGCCATAATTATAATAGTAGCATCGCGTTTGTTCGCAAATAAAATCTTTAACGGCTGAACAATCTTCGGGTGCCCATCGTAAACTTGGCGCTTGCAGCATAACACAACCTTTTTCTAAGCCGCTGCTACTGTTTGATTTTCATCGATATATGTGCGTGTGTGTATGTAATGACGATGACGATGGTGATGATGATGCCCGGTTCAAATGCAATAGACGATAAGTTAAGCGATAAAACAGATATAAAAAGAAAATTAAATTAGATAACTTACCAGAATAATAAATGTTTTGAATTGATAAAAAGAATCAAATAAAATTGAAGAGAATCTATTTAATCATACTGCATAGGATCGAACACATATTTAAAAAAAATGTTCAATATTCAAACGGAAGCATGCGAAAAAATCATTATGCGCCATTCGAATATAAAATAGAAATTAAATGAGTTCTATGCTATTCAAGAATATAAACATTAAATTAAGCGCTAAGTGTATTGTAACGCGGATACGAGAATGAAAAATCCAGAGATTGCTTACCTATCGCGTGCAGTACGTTGTGGTGCTGTATTGCTGTTGTGATCAACCGGATCCAAAAGACCTGCTTTAACCGCATCATTTGCATTGTCAAAGTAATCGAATGTTGCATTAAATGGCAAACCAGTGCTCATCCATAAAAACATGCCAGTGCCGAGTCGATTGCCCGATGTCCAAAAATCGTATTTACTATAACCAGCATTTTGTAAATACTGGCTCATCGATTCAACTTTTTCTTTTGTTTCAAATGATGCCAATTGCAAGCCCAACGATCGACAATATTGATATGCCAAAAAGTAATTCAATTCCGGTGAATATGGATTCATTCGGCTGACAAAATACTGAACACCATCCAATTGTATTGTGGTGATTCGTTGACCTTTTGCCGGAAAAATGATAAAACATATAAATTGAAGAGAAGTTAGCATATAAACATTTCGGTTAACATGTGGGTTATTTGTTTATTTGTTTTAACATGTGGGTGGGTGATATGATAGTAATATATGAAATATAGTATATTTTCTGTTTTCTTCTAGTACTAATGTTAACTACAATGTAATTTTGATTCTTTCTTTTTTTTCGATTTATCAGTATTAACCGTGCGAATATAATCGCAGTTCACAAATTACAGAATAGAATACAAAAATTAGTCTCAGGGCAATGTGTACTCCGTTATGATAAATCAAAGTATAATTTTAAACATTTTTCTCTCATTACCTTTTCTAAAAATAAAATAAAAACTTTGCTCAAAATAATTTTGATTTTGATCGAACACTAGTATTCGCCATGAAGTTAAAATCTTAAATAAAAACCACGGAAGAACACAAAGATCACTAGCAATATGTGATTGGTAATTATTCGATCCCTAATTGAATGTGCACACAAAATATCATCCGCGACTTTTAATAGTCTGCTCTCTCTGTGTGTGTGTTTGGTTGTGAATGTTTGATTTTTTCAACGATCTCGTTTTCTTTGTGCTGCGAATGATCGCAAGAACTTGAACACACATAAACATTTATACGTCTTTGTCCTATGCCCAATTAGCGAAGAATTGATGCTGCCGCCTCTCGCATTCAAAGAGGAGAGATGTCGAGACAGAAAGTGAACACAAAATGCCAAACATACGCACAATTCCTTGTGCAGTGTATGTATGTGTGTTTTTTTTCGTTGTTGTTCATCTTCGTTTCGTGTAAATATGCATAGAAATCAACTACCTTGTGCAATTATTATATGTTTTTCAATTGGGATGCCATCATGCATACACATTCAACGGTCGTATCACAAGAGCAACGAAACGAGTGAAAAGAAAACCGACAGCAGAATACGAACGATTCGAGAGAGTAAAGAGTTGGTGATTTTTAGCGGTGTAACGAACGATGAAAAGATTATGCATACATAAAAAGTCTAAGAGAACATTGATAACCATGTTAATAATGTGAAATAGAAAGACTTGCAAAGCATGAGGAAAAGTTCATGCAACAAATGAGTAAAGTAGAAATACAACAGCACAAAAAAAATCTTGCAAAGTGCGTAGAAGAAGATGAATAAAATGCTCTCGTCCGCAATTATTTTGTATTTTATCATCAGACTGTTGCATTCGCAAACAGAAACCCAGCATATTGTAGACAATTTTAAAACGGAATAAATTGGACTAGTTGTTGGACCACACGATATATAGTTCAATCGGGTGTTACAGACCGTGAAAGACAACGAACAAAAAGTGCGAGAAGTAAAAAATCAAATAATGGTATTGTATTTTTTTTAATTCCATTTCCAATCGATAATGCATAATTATAGGTCCTTCCAGGTGTGAAAAGCATATTTCTATTGCATTTTATCTACAGGGAAAATTATGCAAATAATTTTTTTTTCAAATTAACACGAATAGTTGTGCGGCTTAAATGAACCTAACAATCATTGCAAAAGTGAATATATCAAGCGATGATACAATAAAATGCAATGCCCTTTATGCATAAAGTCATGAAGAATATTGATAACCATGTTAATGAATGTGAAATCCAAGAATCCAAGAATAATGAATAAGGAATCAAAGGCCATAGAGGAAAAGGAAACGCGATTGTAAGGTGCGTAGAAAACATACTCTCTTGCCTACAATTATTTTGTTGTTTATCGGTTGTAGCGTTTACAACGAAGCCTATCACATTTTTTCCGTTTTATTCTGTGTTCTTGTCATTCTTGTAGTTGCTGCTGTCTTTTTTGTGCTTTAGCCGGCTTTTTCCAGTGTCTCTATTTTATTGGTGAGCAATGTGTGTACACATATTTGTGGAGCGTTTTCTTTGTTTGCCAGCACACAAATATCTATTTATATCTGTGTAAGGCCGTAACAAAATATGAGATATACATATTTGTGTACGCTGTTCATGTTCTGATTATTTTTTGCGGAGTTTTCTTTCACTTAATCGCTCGCTAAACTGAATGGCCTTTTCTCTCTTTTGGCATTACATTCGTTTCTTATTCACTCAACATTATTCGCCTTTTATCCATACGATTTATGCCATGAGTTTGACAGCTCATAGTAGCCGTCTGACGGTTGTTGAGTAAAATGATCTTCCAAATGTGATATTTGGTAAAATATACATAAGCAAATGTAATTGGATTAAAAAATATAAATCATTTCAACAAAATTCTTAAAATATTTATAGTTGGTGCGTCTAAAATCTCATGTGAAAGTTAATTTGTAATATGTTTCACACAAAAGCCGTAAGGTGGCGATAATTTTGAAAACTTGTGTAAACAAGTCTACAGACTTCTTATGGTCGCAAAGATCCGGTGATATTACTTTTTATAGAATTCATTCTATTTTATATAATGCGGCTTGAATAATTTTCTCTCCCTCTCTCTCTCTCTCTCTCCTTCTCGTGCCGTCTCAATTTATTTTTAAATTTTGATTTGCTGTGTGTGCATGCTTCTCTTCTTTTGATCTGGATAAATTGCATGCCTCGATGTGTTTGGTGTTGTTTCAAACGTTGCACACACATACACACACATCTCTTTTGCAAAAACGTGCGAGCAACTGACACAGGTGAAATAAAGAGACATCGCAGATGAGAAAGAAGAAGAAAAGAGGCGAAATTAAAACTTTAAGCACAATCACATGCTATATTATTCCGTTTCAGGACTTTGATGTAAGTCTCGATTTTAATTATATCATGGTGAAGCACCGAGAAAGAGGTTTAAGTGCTATATTCCGTTTTTTTATTCACCGGTTCGTTGTGTTTGCAAACAAACAATCGTGCACCAAAAATGTGAGCTCACTAAACGGATAGTTTTTTTGTCTCCGTTGCCTCATTGTGTTCAGTTGGACAGAAACGCAATGAAATGAATATTTTCGTAACAAAAGAGGTTGAAGCGCGATGGCTAGTATGTGTTTTGTCTATTCTGTAGACACTATAGAGCTAAAACGAGAGACAACGTAAAGAAAATAGGCAACCGAGAAAAATTACTATGGTTGAAAGATTAAAATTTATTGCATTCGCGAATGAATGTGCACTCTGCTCACACACAATGAACTGAAATTGTCTGGCTAGTCCCGACAAAATAGTCAACATCAGACGCATGCCATAAAATTAAACTATTCGAAAGATTTTATAATTTTGTCTCTCTTTCGTAATCCACACATATATCCAGAGAATTGTTCACATTACTGTCGATGCGACTCATCTTTATAACTCAACTATGCAGCAGCTTGTTGTTGCCTTTTTATACATCATCTGGCGTCTATGGAATCTTTTCCAAACAAAAGACTCGGTAAGCTCATTTCTCACATTTGACCATGAACATTTCGACATTGTATGAAATCTGCTTTCAATTCGTTCAGTCGGTCTTATGCGTTTTTTTCTACTCTCATACTCTTTCTCTCTATATTTCTTTTTTACTTTTCTTGTTTTTATTACCAACCGTATTAGAAAATAAATTAGTTTGAACCATGGCAATTTTGAAATATGCCAATTGTTAAACATGGTAGATTTGAATTGAAGGTGCCAAACACTATTCTCTTCGTGTCTTTCCTTTCTTCGGTTCATTTGTAGAGATAATCATCACGTTGGGATCAAACACCATTTCAAAGATGATCTCGTTTATGTTCTTTTTGTCGGTGTCTTGATTTGATGGCCGATGAAAATTGCACGATTGTGCGTTTCATAGTTTGTTAGTTGGTAAAATTACAATAGAAGAATCGTAGCATGTATCGATATATTTATGCATGCGGTGATGTAATTTCGACCAGAAAACACTTTGCAAAGATGTGAAAACGAATTGATGTATTGCCATTTATACAAACATTTACTTTCTGTTGCTTGATTCGTTTTTCTTTTTTTTTTCTTTCTTACCGCGAATTAGATGAGTTTCGAGAAACTCCAGAACTCTTGCTTCCATCAGATAATAGTGAACAAGCGAAAAAACGAATGAGAAAAAAGAGAATACACGAAGAACGAAAGGTGTCGGTGGAAAAAAAGAGACTATAGCAATGTGAGTATGTGTATATGTTATTATGGTGTGTTTGCGCGTAATTTAATTTACGAGTCAATGAACTTGAGCTTGTATGAAAGAAAGTGTATACAATATACACAATGGGCGAAGAACAGTGTTGTTCTTTAAATTTTCATTTTTAAAAAACAACTAATAACAAAACATTTATTCAAATGCATGCTTCACACCTACATCATCAATATATTTCAAATATTCTTCAAACTAAATACAAGTATTTATCACATAATTCGTTCTGAATTTGAAGGATTACGGCTTGCTAAAAAAAGAATGATTACATTTTGAAAAAATTAAACCACCTTACATCGAATTGAGACGCATTTATTGAATATATTGCAAGTAGAACATCTGTACATTGAAATTAAATTTCAATACACATTCCGCTGTATTGATGAATATGAAGAAACAAATATGCAGTTTCATATTTGCATGCATATTACTTAAAGTTGTGACGGAAAGTGTTTGTGCAAATTATCGTTCATAAGTATGAGTGATTGGCTTTCGCTTTGACTGGGGCAATCCGATTTTGATCTCAATGTTGTCGGCCCTTTTTTCAGGCCTCAAATGTAACCTGTTGTTGTTTTCTCTCAACAATGTGCCTTGAATATGTTTCAGTTTCATCTGGAATCGCGAGCGAATGCATTTTAACTTTCTGAATTCTTTATTTCACTTGTTTGCCTAAGACGAACACAGAAAACGAACATGTAATCGGAAAGGCATGCGTGTGCATTTTATTTACATATTTTAATTTGTTTATCTATTTGTATAATAAACAGGGAAAAAACACAATTCATCATGCGATGGGCATGCAGTTAGAACACCCATACGTCGCCTTTCCCCATTTTTTAAATATAACAAAGTGTTTCCTCTCTCTCTATGTCTCTTTCTTTTTTTCTTTCTCGATCGCACGAAACACTGTAAAAATAATTCTCCAGACTCAATTATTTTACCGTAGAAGAGAACAATATAATTATAAAGTGCTGAGTGCGGTGAATTCAATTAAAATATCAACCAATAAACTAAAAGATTCACTTTTATTAAACAGTTCCATTTTACATTCCAAATGCACTCTAGCCTATCAACACACAATTCGGATTGTTTGTCTTTTCCTTTCTTTAAAGGTTTTATCTTTCGTTGATGTGTGAACGTTGTATATCGAAAGAATTTCCGCACCTGAAAGATCTTAAACGCGCAACGAATATGACATAGAAATACAATTAACGAACAACCACAGAATTCGTGTGACGTGCATTCAACCAAACACAACAAATAAAAAAAAAAAGAAAACAATTATGCGTTATTCGTGCCTGTCCTGTTGTAGTTAGTTTTTGGTGTGAGTGTCTTTTATATTCTTTTGTAATGCACGCGTCACAACAAATGAATGAGCTGCTCCCGTACAAATTTCTTCTTCTTCTTCTTCAAACTTTTAAAAAACAACATATATGCAAAATGTAAGTGAAATAAAACAAAACGAAGAAAACACCGATAAGTCTCGTTTCGTTTTAAAACGGAAACAATATCCCATTTCCTTTGGCTTTCGTTGTATATGCGCGTCGAGCTATAACTCGTAAATTGGGCGCTGCGACATTACTCCTGTAAAAATAATTCCTGGGCTCTTGGAAATATATCCTGAGAATTTTCCCTAGTAAATATCTCCTAGGAACTATTTCCGAAAATTTTATCGTACCCGCCATGACTCAATGTTTTTGTTGATAATTGTACTTTACTAAATAGCCTGTTTTTAATACACTTATTCATTGTGATCGTCTATGTTGTTATCTTTTATGTGTAGGGACAATTTTTCGGTGGTATAAAAACCGGGAAAGAATGTCATTTCAAATAAACGACAATATTGATAGTGCAGTAATGTGCGAAGGGGGGGTTTACATGCATATGTGTGTGTGTTACGTTTAATCCAAAGTCATAAAAATATGCACGTGCACTATCGAAAAAAGAGAAAAGCGACACAAAATCAAATCTGAAATTGTGGAACAACCCATACTATCTTTCTTACCTGATCGAATGCCCATCACATAACCAAATCATTATCGAAATTATATTCAAATCAAAAATTGAACGTGCTAAGAATTTCAATTATGAGCGAGTGAGAAATTGAAGTCGCATACAAAAGCCATGCATTAATGTGGCATTCTTCTTTTTATTGACTCTTTTTTTTTGTTCACGTTGCGTAAAATATTCGCGTGAGTGCTCACCAAATTCAACGATGGTTTCTTTTTATTCTCTGGTTGAATGAATCATTCGTTCTACACTGTGTATCTCGAAAGAAAAATGTCAAATTCTCAATCGATAGTAAGACGTGCGTATTTTGAATTGGAAACATGCACTAGAACTATTACAATTTCATTTTATTTTATTTTTTCTTCAAATTTCGGAGACAAATGAGAAATCATGATAAGGTGTCATTTAACATGTTTCACTTTAATTTCTGTCTGGAAGGAAATAAAGCAAACCAGTGCCAATGGTGAAATGATGATGTAACAACATACATATAAAATTAAGATTGATTCTCATTGCAGCTTAATATTTGGTAGGTCATCAATCAGAGCATATACTGAGCATAGATATATATCCGGGATATTTTGTGAGTATCCGATATTTATCGCAGCCAGATATTATAATGGAGTGAAAACAATAGAAGTGATTTACATTACTACAATCACTGTAACAATAACTTCTATTGTTTTTACTCTAATTCAAAGTCTGGCTCCAATGAATATCGGATACTGACAAAATATCCAGGATATATATCTATGCTTAATATATGCTCTGTCATCAATAAAATAATCATATTGAACATTTACATCATTCTTTGGTTACACACCATTCCATTATACTGTTATGGGTGTTAGTTGATGGGCATTGTCTTTTGCCACTTTTCATCACTTCCACACATATAAACGCTTTTCGAATTTCGAATCAATTTTGAATGCCATATAAAAAGTTTTCTCTCTCTTCTTACAACTAGATTCCGTTCTGAGGAGCGTTTTAAACATGCAGAAGAGGAAAAAAAACAGCAACAATGGAGACGATTTGTCACCACCGGAAACAGATTGTTAGCATATTTTGCATAAATAGCTGTCATTTTGTGCCCAAATTTTAATGCAATTCACATGCAAGACGAGAGTCGATCATATTGGCTAAAAGCCAATGAATCATGTTTTGAAAAATTCTCATTTTAAATTAATGTAATAAACTAAGATATTTTTTTGCAAGCGAATATATATTGGACAAACAAAACTATAGATATTATTACAAGCGTACACAGAGAAAAAAACGGGTAAATATTTAGTGACTGCGTTAAATCACATGAGATAATATTAGTGCTGATTTTCAGTAGAAAATGTCTCAAACATGTCTCTTGTATTTAACCACAGTTGACTTGAAATTAAGCACATGAGTCATGACGCTAAAAACGTCAAATCGATTTATTCACGAATTCACTTCCTAACTTGTAATTTAAGAATAAGTTTGTAGTTCTCCGTCAAATGTTAATCACCGATCAATAGTACCTTACTCTATAGTTCAGTAATTTTTGGTGTAGGGCGGCGCCACCGTATGTACTTAGAAATTTACATTTAAACTAACGCCATCTAACGTGTTTGATAATTTTTTTCCCCGAAAAAGTGGCACTATAACCCGTCTTTGTCACCGATAATCAACGATTTTTTTAAAATCTTCTTCTACGTTTAATTTGTGGGCTATTTTTTTCTGGACTGAATAATATTTTATGCGACATTTTGACTTTTAACGCAATACAAAATACGGGCCAGAGTGAACATGCACAAGTATTGAATTTTTGAATATATCGATTTGACGTTTATAGTGTCATGTGGTAAATTTTAAGCAGTCACTAAATAATTGCCGTTTTTTTCTCTCTGTGTAAAATCGAAATTAAATTCAAGAAAAGGATTTAATGTAATAAATTCAATATGGTATCAAATACTTTTTCCATATAGCCCAACACTGTAGTTTTTATATATATTAAACATTTGAATTGTTTTTTTTTAGTTAGAATATTCACCAGTATCCTATAAGATGCATCTGGCTTAATTTTCTTAATTGAACCATTTTATGGTATAAAAACACAGCGCAACATTTTGTTTTTGTTGAAATTATTGCAAAATCTTCGAGATTTGTTAGTGACAAAAAAAATGTTTACTAGAGAGTAGAGAGAGAGAGAGAGAGAGAGAGAGAGAGAGAGAACAATGAAAATGATGAATTGAGAGATTTTATATCAACTTTTTTCAAATTCATCTGTTGCTTTGCACCGGTGGGCGCTGGTATCGAAGATTTTTTGTTGAAGATTCAACGAATACGACATCTATTAAAATACATAAAGATTTTTGTTACTAAAGAACACACTGACTCTGATTTTGTGTGTCCGTTTGTATTGCAAATTCTGCACTCAGTCGTCAACCGTAGCTGCTTGTACAAAATTTACAATACACACGCATACACAGAATCGGTGTCAGTACTAATACGTTTGCAATACAGCTATATAGTTCGCTAGAGCTGTGTCAAGACAGCAGTAGTAACGAAAATCTTTATTGTCTTTAATAAGTGGCGTATTGTTGAATTTTCAACAAATATTTCCATACAAAAAGTGCTTCACCAGCGCCCACCGCTTTGCACACTAAGATAAGCAAGAAAAGAGAAACAAATCTTAGGACAAAAACACCTGTATCCTAATACGCACATGTACAAATTAAATAGAAGAATTGTTGTCGTCATTGAGTCAACGAAACATTTTTAATAAATACTCTGTCTAAAAAAGAAGATGTTTTACCATAGTCAAACGACCATTGCAATCATTGTGCGTTCGTTTTGGTTTCATTTTAGTTTCGTCTCTTCTATTTTAATATTTATTTCCTCTTTACAGCATATATTGTAAATAAATACTTATTCGAGCAAATGAAGACACAAAAACGTAACAATGTATAAAAAAAAAATGTTTTACGACCCGCATTTCTATTTTTCGTATTGTGTACGAGTGTGTACATGTTGTCTTTATAATCACCTCGAGAGAAACTCGAAGAAAACAAATTCTGCCCATATTTCTCGGAAGAATTTTCTTACGAACGAGCAAACGAGAGAAAGAGAGAGAGATTGAGAAACACGTTGTGTCTCTCTGAATCTCGCTCCACCGAAAATTCCGTCTGCGGGTCAAGTAGAAGAAAGAAAATATAAAAAAAACAATTAAAAACATTTTACCAACCTGTTGCTAATACACAGAATAAACTCAAAAGGATTACGACTTTCATCTTAAATGGTTTTGGTTTTATGGAAGACAAATATCTATATAAATTCGAACGGCTATTTTGTTGATTCCTCGAATTGTTGCACGAGGAATGTGGTTACGATTTCGTTTTAGTTTTATTTTGTTAAAAAGCAAAAAAAACGAAGATTATCACACACAGAATGTTCCTTTTTTGTTTCAATTTGAGAAAAAAATATTTCTTTTATTAAATAAATCGGATCACATTAATCACAATATTTAAATATTTTTTTTACCCACGCTCAAGTGATTGAAGTAATATTTTTTTAATGAAAATTTTAAAATTTAAAAATTCACTGGATCAAATTCCACAGAAAGGAATTTTGAAATAGAATTATTTTTTGAGTTTTAAAGCACGAATATAAATTCGATTCGATCGATCGAGAGCTGAACTAAGAAAGTACTGACTTTAACAAGTGAAAAACACACAATTGACAGTCGAGGATCGGTGTAGTTTCAAAGTCAAGTTCAACAAATAAAATGCTTCCATTTTATTAGTTATTTTGCTTTAAAAATGCTTTACCCCACCATCACCACCGAGATGGCACGGCCATCCGACACATACACATACGCGGTACACGGCGCCGTGTGATCGCAGAGTGTATATTTCTGTTGTCTTCATCATGATGATGATCATTGTTACCGTCATCACTACTGTCTTCTTCGTGCAAACAGCAACGAACCATTCGTTTATTTTCACCGGTGTGTGCGCGCTTTTTTTCATTCTTTTAATAATCGATGGTGTATGTGTATGTGTGTGTGTGTTTTATTTGACTTTTTTTCCTTAAAAATTTTCTTCTTATACTGCTTCATGCGAACGCATTCTGTCTCGACGCGCATTGTTATCGAATGCCTAGCAGCATATGCTGTTTATTCTCGTTGGTTTTGCTCAACATTTGTTAATGTTTCGCGTAAAACTATCCCTAATAAACCAACATGAAAATATATAATATTCAAATATTCACACATTATACAATGGAAACGGCTGAAATAGAATGAAAGAGGAACACAAAAAGGCACATATTTGCGTTCAAAATCTATTAAATTGAACCCATTTCTTGTTGCGTATGCTGAACTTCCAGGTACATTTTTGGTCCGTTTGAAACGATATTTATTGATAGGTCTACAAATCACACCATATGGCTTTCAACTAAATCTAACTTCATTTTTCTTGAATCCTAACACAAATAAATCTATTAATATTAATTTAAAAATTTTGGTTTATGATTAATGACTTTTAATAAGGTACGATATTTGGTGATCTAAATAGTTTGCTTTTCATTTCTTTTGGAATCTTATGTATTTTTCTTTAATTGGAATGTTATGTGTATTATATCAATATCATTTTATGGCGAGTAAACGATCGTAAAGTGCAAGTCTTTTATTTAAAGTTCTATTTTGAGAATAAATTCATGCCAAATACCGAACGATGAGTAATATGAATCAGAAGTATTATATATCGTTCGCGATTTGAAGTGATGATCGAATAACGATGCGCGCATCGTTTGGAATCGCATATAAAAGTGTGAACATTGGTTGTATTAGTACAACGCTTTTAATCGTTGTATTTCATTGTATCTCTTTCTTTTTCTTTACTCTCTCTCTCTCTCTTTCCTTCTCTAGAAGTTTTTTGGCAGTCCTTTTGATATACCTAGGCTCGGTTGTTTCTGCATTTATGTGTCTCGATGTAGAAGAGCAAAAAAAAAAATAATCAACATACAAAAACGGTCCGAATATACACAAAACTCACAATGAACCGAAACAGAGAATGAAAAATGAAAAGTGAAAAAGGATCACACAGTTCTGTTGAAGCAGCAACATCAGCAGCACCGACAATCGCCTCATCATCATCGTCATCATCATCGACATCATCGAGAGTTGTCGTTCGTTACCTAACGAATTGGGAATAAACGATTCTTCTTCCAGTTCTTTTTCCCCGTTTATATTATCGTCGACGCAAACACGAACAGCACAGATTAAATTATAGACAGCGTAGTCAAACAACGTTGTTGTTTTTGTTTCTCTATGCTGTTGTTCATTTTCTCTTAAAACATGCACGATCATCGTAAATACCAAAACGAACATATGCGATACCTGCTTCAAATACACACCTATATGTACACACCGGCGATCGAATGATCCTTTATCACATATTAAGTGCGACAGAGTTCGATAAAGAGAGTGAGTGAATAGAACATATCATTGTGCAAAAAAAAAAGAAGTAACAAAAAAATGCACACATACACATCAACTCCACGTATGTGGAAAACAAAGAAAAAGGCCCCAATAAAAATGGCAACAACAAGAACTGTTGTAATAAAAATAGCAGAAGAATTACAAAATATGCGCTAAAGAATTGTCTTTTGTTCATTTGGTTTATCGTACATTCAAACATTGAATATATCCCATTCGGGTTTCTCTCTATCTCTAAATTTTTCGCATTCTCTTACTTTTATTGGTGAATCTTTTAATTGAATTCGCCACTTTTATTATTATTTTTGTTTTTCTCTTCTCTATTTAAAATCCAACGCTTGAATTCGATAAGTTTTTCATAGGCTTTTTTGTTGAATATGTGTATGTCTAAAATTGTTTTTCATTTCGTTTTGAAGGTTGGACTGGCTTTTGCGCAATTTCATTGGATTCTTCACGCTTATTTCGTGTATTTTTTTTGTAAAAGCCACAATCACTTTCAATTTTCCTCGCCAATACATACACAGACATCAATTCCAAGTGATATTTGAATGTAATAATTGTTATTTACTACGCTTAATTGACAGAAGATTCTGTTTTTCTTTGTTCTCCAGATTAAAATGTTTTGTAGTCTTGCGATAAGTTTCTTACTGATTGGATATAAAACGAATGCTATACGAGAGATGAATAAAAAATACAAAAAATATTTTCGCTTCCAAAATGAAGTGTCAAGTAGAAAAAACACTTTTTTTTCTCAAATTTGTTGAGCGAATTTCATGAAAAAGTCGCCATCCGTTTTATTTTACGCGCCTCATGCTGGTATTTTTTAGGCATAGAAAATACTCTAAATAACAGCAGATGAGCAGACCCACACATTCAATACAACATCAGAATTTTGACGGAATTCTAATTGGATTCGGTTCGTAATAATATTGCGATGTTCGTGCGTTGTGTCTGAAAAACTTCCAGGTGAATACAGTATTTTGGTTAAGAATACGCAACTCAGTTTTGACATGTGTGATCGTTCTCTCACTCACACAATCTCTGTATAAAAAAAAGAGTCATCATTGTGCATGCCGTGAATTTCATCATTTCTCAGTGTTCATTTCATTGTTTCATTTAAACGCACGCATATAATAAATACAATAACCTGCGGGGACGTTCTCATCGTTTTTCTTCGTAGTGTTTGGTACAGTGTACAGGTACACACAATTTTATTGCACTTGAACTTGATCCGAATATGTCTGGCATAAAAATGGCAGATATATGCATTCCCGCCGCGCCAGATGATCTCTTTTTTTCTCGTATCTCGTCTTGTCATTACCGCGCAGGAATATAATTTTGCAAGCAAATGGATAACAACAATAGAAAAATGAAAAAAAAACCGAATAACACTCTCTGTGTCTCTAGTTCTTCCTACTGAGACAAAAGTTTTAGCAACGAAGAATTTCACAGTATGTGTGTAGTGCAAGATGGTTAAATTTTTAAAGACGATTCATTTAAGTGGAATGACATGCCAATGAATTGATTCACATATCGATGTATTTGCTGCATAGTCTGCTAGCACTATACATATCGTACAGTCCAGTATGCGTTTGAATCGATTTAATAATTATTGTTGTTGCAAAGCGTATGATTGCATCATGTGTGCAATTTCGCATAAATATAAATGTTGTAATGAAAAGAGGCCAAGATATGTGCGATCATAAATTTATTGACAGTTTGTAAAATACGATACCCCAGATGAAAATCGCTTATATTCATAAATCGCTTGAAGAAGAGTTTTGTGATGGTGGTGGCTAACGAAGCGAAATTATACCGATTTAGGTACCCATGAAATCAATGCGATAAAAAAATGTTTATCTCTCATTGGATTGATAGAGACGGTGGTGGTGGTGGTAAATAAGAACTATAATAGCCCCAACTATTGCACCAATATCGACATATTATCTTAAATTCTAGAATTAAGTTTCTCTATCGCATAGCCTTTCGTTCTTATATACCCGTGTACAAAAAAAGTGACTGACTATTTTGGGACAAACTGACTGACTATTGACTGTGAAAACAAGCAACCTTACTTAAATTTAGTTAACTTCAATCAATTAAAGTAAGCTATGGTCCAAAATGATGAATCTTTCAGTGCAACATGCTATAGGGTGAAGTAAACACCCAATTTTTGACACCCTTTGGAATTTTTTCGTAACTTATTTTGTCGTTTAAACTTTTATCGTTTTGGTTCAAATTCGGATGTGCTATAACCATAAGAATCACCAAAAATGAATTTTTGCTTGGCCAACCCGGTTTTCGGTACTTGATGACAATTTTGAAGGGTTTGAGCATTTATAAATTAGAAATACAACCGTACATTTAGCTTTCTCTAGAATCTTTATATTCATACTAAGTCCATGAAACACGATACATGGTTCGAAGAGAGATTGGTTCATCTTTAGACACACGCAGAATTTGTTTTGAACTTAGCTGTCCAAAATCAATTGAGATTGCGAATGAATATAATTATAATATGACGGCCTAAGAAGAAAACAATAACATACAGAATATTCTGCAAAAAGACGAATACAAATTTATGTGAGCAAAAACCAAATATACAAACAGACAGCGCAAAGGTAAAACAGCCTACTTACATAAGAAACACATGTAAGTAGGCTGTTTTACTTTTGCGCTGTCTGTATATTTGGTTTTTGCTCACATAAATTTGTATTC